TTGAAGCCTCGAGCTACAGGCCTGTTTGACTTGACAGAAATGATGGGCAGTTATCCATAATTAAAAAAACAACCCAGTGACTCAAGTGCTTTGAGAGATTGCAGATATGATAGGAGCTTTGCAGGATCCACACTGAAACAAAAGTCAATATTTGTCCTCAGTTACCCTGTCACACGATGTCTACATAAGCCCCATTCAAATAATCGCCTCAGTGCTCGCCACCTGCATGCCCATGGATATCACGCCCCAAACACACACAGACACACGCACTGTCTCTCGTACATAAACATACATCTTCAGTATGCCTGTAATATTATATGCACACTCAGGCTCAACCTTTATAATAGTAACCCAATCAGTCCAAGTATCAACTAACTTCATTTTAGTGCAGTTTAAATTAGGAGATGTCATGCTAAATAATGTTCTTACTCAACTTCATGTTCTTTTAGTTGAGGATAAATGACAGCAAACCAAATAATGAATATTTGTACAATACTCTATTCATTTTGATCTTGGATGAGTTCCAAAGGGCCTGTTGGAGCCTGTGAAATCTACTACCAAAGACAAGACTCTTTCCCCAGACAATAGGCAACAGATGCATGTGAATATAACACACAGGAATTTTAATATTTAGATGTGCACTTATTTCACTGCAAACCCTTCTGTGGAAATTGCTGTGTGTCTATCCACTAGACAAACAACTTTCAGCAGGAGAGACTGATATTTGATACTGTCAGGATACCTTTCAGGGAAGTTAGAGTACAAAAACTGACAATCATGTCCTTACAACCCGTTATTCCATCAGGACTTTTCCTGTATATCATCAATAACCATGGCAAGGGCATTTCTCTATATTTTTAACCACATAAAGTAGATTACTTTCTAAATTCTCTAATCTAGTCATGTGCCATCTATAGGAAAGTAAACTAATAGAAGCAGCGGTTTAATTTTTTTATGTTTTTTTAGGCTTCTGCATACCACTCACCTCTAAACAGTTAAAAAGTGGCTAAGACTCCTTCCTTCCCTCTCTAAAGTAACCAGGAGGAAGACACACAATGAGAGCAGTGTATATTCGAGTACAGACATAAATATAGAGGGAGGTGAGTGCGAGGCTGTACTGATAGGCACACCAGTGCTTTCAGCTAAATGCTAAAGTTAGCATGCTAACATGCCGATTCTAATGTTCACTATATTAGTTTAGTGTGTTAGAATAATAACATATTCTAATTAGCATTAAACACAAAGTACTTCTGAGGATGATGGAAATGTCATTGTTTTCCAGATATTTGGTCATAAACAAAAATATACGACAAATTGAAACCTTGATGGATATCTTTATTTTGAACATGTTAATAAATTTTAAAAATAATCAACAAAACAAAAAATAGTGGTAATAAACAAATGAACAACAAAGTAAAACTCCATACTTTCCAGTACTTAAAAACCTCTATTTACATGTGCAAAAAGGAGATAGGAAGAAGTAAAACTTATGTAATCCTACCCCTTTATACCCTTACTACCATATCTAAGGAAATAACTACAAAATAATCTACAGAGATAATAAATCTGTAATCAATGAAAATACATATTCAAAAGTTCTATTCACACACAGATATTACCCATACACGACAATATTTATACATACTGGAAATTATTCAATATAAACCCTGGTTATTATTAGCACTGTGTTTCTCTGTACCTCTGGAATATAATTTCTTTGAACATCTTATTAAAATGGAATATGTTTGGACATTGCTTTAATTTATTATTTCGTTTATTCCACAATTTAACACCACTTACAGATAAACCGAAACTTTTCCTAGTTGTTCGAAAACTGGGCGTTTTAAAATTTGACTTTCCCTTTAAGTTGTAGCCCCCCTCTCTTTCAGAAAACCTTATTGCCTATATTGCCAGGAAATAAATTGTTTCTAGCCTTGAACATATTTACTGCTGTTTGAAATTCAACTAGATCAAATAGTTTTAATGCTTTAGACTGTGAAAATAATTAGTTGGTGTGTTCCAAATATCCAGTGCTATGAATTATTCTCATTGCTCTTTTTTGAAGTATAAATAACGATTGCAATGAATTACCTCTACATGGTAATTTAAATACGGTAACACCAGTGAACAATACAAAATGTGGAGTGATCTGTAATCTAGAATGTGCTTAGCTTTAGCCAGGACTGAAATACTTCTAGACAGTTTTGTTTGGATATGTTTTATGTGAGATTTCCAGCAAATCTTGTCATCTATAATCACTCCAAGAAACCTTGACACGATGAAAAGTCAGGGGATCACCAGATTTATTACAGTCCTTGAAAGGGACATGCATGTCTGTACCAAATGTCATTGCATTTCATTCAGTAGTTGTCCACATATTTCCCTCAAAGCTAAATAAGTGAACCTCATGGAGAGAAAATAAATCACTAAGGGATCACCAAGTCATTCGGATTTATCATCTGGGAACCACAAATATCTGTACCAACGTTTATGCCAATCCATCACACAGATGTTATGATATTTCACAAAATAGGGCACCAAAGGAAAAGTCAGATGATCACCAAGGTCATTAGGATTTATCCTTTAGGCACCGAGGATATCTGAACCACAGCAACGCATCCAAGATTTGTCAAGACGACAATGTCAACCTGCTGGTGGTGCTAAAGTAAAGTCAGGATGATTGTTGAGATATTTCAGTCCGGACGACAGACCAATAGTGCCATGCATAGAGCACCGACAGCCTGAAGGCGTCTCAACTGCCACAATGGGAGAAGCTATAATTTTTTTTGTTCTGAAGACGACCTTGCATATCTAAACTGTTGCTGTTGTTTTTCTTGCCGATAGGTGGCACAGGATCGACTTAAACCACTGCCACTGCAGCTTTATAATTATATATAGGCTGAGCCTGGCGTAATTTAAGGTTAAAGTGGTAGAGGATAATAATAATAATAATAATCTTTATTTGTAGAGCACTTTTCAAAAACAAGTTACAAAGTGCTTTAACAAGTGTAAAGACAATAATACCCAAGAGACAATAATACAAAAACAATACAAGATAAAAGCATGAAAACATTGAAAAGACTAAAATACAGATAAATATAAAATTTGTAAAATACAATAAAATAAAAGGGATAAAATAAAGTCAAATAAGATCGGGAAAGGCTTTCCTATAAAAGTATGTTTTAAGAAGGGACTTAAAAGAGTTCACTGACTCAGCTGACCTGATTTCCTCGGGCAGGCTGTTCCAGAGCCTCGGGGCCCTGACAGCAAACGCTCTGTCCCCTTTAGTTTTCAGTCGAGACTCTGGAACAGACAACAGACCTCTGCCCGAGGATCTCAAGGTACGTGCTGGTGTGTATGCGACTAAAAGGTCAGAAATATAACAAGGCGAGAGGCCATGAAGAGCTTTAAAAGTGATCAATAGAATTTTAAAGTCAATTCTAAAACATACTGGGAGCCAGTAATGAAGCTAAAATAGGAGTAATGTGGTCATATTTCTTTGTTCTGGTTAAAAGCCTGGCAGCTGAGTTCTGGACAGTCTGGAGTCGATCAATAGATTTTTGCGTTAAACAGGTGAAAAGGCTGTTGCAATAATCCAGGCGTGATGAGATGAAGGCGTGTAAAATGGTCTTGGTGTCCTTAAAAGTTAACATAGATCGAATTTTTGCGATATTTCTAAGTTGATAAAAACATGATTGAACAAGCTTTGTGGTGTGCTGCTCGAAATTTAAATTACTATCAAACCAAACACCAAGGTTCTTTGCCACAGGCTTAATGTGATTTACTAGGGAACCAGCAGATGGCAGTATTTGATTTGCCATCTGCTGGGACCCGATGACCAGGATTTCTGTTTTGTCTGAGTTCAGCTGGAGGAAATTATTTGACATCCATGTTTTAACTTCACAAAGGCAGTTGTTAAGTGAACTCAGCATTCCAGGGTCTGTGGATCTGACAGGTAAGTATATTTGTGTGTCATCAGCATAAATATGAAAAGAAATGCCATGTTTATGGATAATATGTCCAAGGGGAAGCAGATACAAGGAAAACAAAATGGGTCCTAAGACCGACCCCTGAGGCACACCATATTTAACTGGACAGAACGAAGAGACATAGTTGTTTACAGACGCGCAATTACTATTTGACAGGTAGGATGAAAACCCACCCAGTGCCTCAGTCTGTCTAACATGATGTTGTGATCAATGGTGTCAAAAGCAGCGCTAAGGTCCAGTAGTACCAGGACTGAGCACATGCCTTCATCAGCAGACATTAAAAGGTCATTGGTGACTTTAAGCAGGGCAGTCTCAGTGATGTGGTACTTCCTGAAACCAGACTGAAACTTTTCAAATAATTTGTTATTTTCCAGTACAGTGAGCAGCTGTTTGGACCCAATTCTTTCTAGAATCTTTGCAATAAAAGGCAGTATTGAAATTGGTCTAAAATTATGTGGGAGGGAGGGATCTAAACCAGGTTTCTTTAAAAGTGGGTTCACGCAAGCCGTTTTAAAATAATCAGGGATACAACCAGTAGATAGGGAGCTGTTAAAAACAGAGATCAAATGGGGCCCAACAGAATCCATTACTTTCAGTAAAAACTTTGTAGGTATTACATCAAGTGGGCTGGAGGACACTCTCATTTGTGTAATAGAGGCTCTGATTGACACCACCTTATTGGTAAAATAAGATAAAAACAATTCAAAGTCATCATTACTTCCAGCTGAGGCACAAGGAGGGGTTGGGTTTACCAGCTGATCCACAGTCTTAAACAGAAACCTGGGATTGTGTTTATGTGTAGTAATGAGTTCAGAAAAATAGTGTGTTCTCACATCCTTAACCAAGTTATTGTAGTTAATTAATAAATCCTTCAGACTGAGGTAATGGACTTGGAGACTGGATTTTTTCCTTCTGCGCTCTGCTTTCCTGCATTCCCTTTTTAGATGTAAAATATAGAAAAATAATAAGCAAAGCTGGTATTTGGCCCCCTCAAAAAAGACAACTTACTCATTGTTTCAGTGTTAATTTAATCATACAAATGCTTAATTATAGATACAGGGAAAAAAGCTTTTATTGACAGTTTCTCTTCAAATAAATGTGCTATTTTAGGACTATGTAAACTTTCATCTCATCCACTCTCCAAACCACCCGTCTCAAATCCGTACATAGTCACAAACTAAAACTAGAGAATGAATCCAGCAATATTCAGATATCTCACCATCTGTCTCTCACTCACACACCAACACACACAAAGACACACACACAAAGAAAAAAAAGACTGACGCCACTAAAGGAAGCAATGCAGAACAGTGTATACTGTTTGGGAGGTGGACTCTCAGCTGACTCAATACAAATACAGCAGCGTTGCAACACATAATTCTGGTTAATTTTACAAACAGGCGATCATTGAATCAATGAACTCTAAATATTATGAATAACATTTAGATGTTCATAATTACAACTAGGTGAACGTTTGATAAATGAAAACTATTAAAATTAAAATCAAAACGTTTAAATAATTCCTTTCAAATGGAAAATGAAAAATTTAACACTATCATGCCGTTCCATCAACAACTTTTCCCATTTTATTTGTAAGCCCAAAATACATGATAAAATCCACAGTCTGACATGATGAACATAGCAAAGCTAAGTAACAATTCAGGTGTGATAGCAGACAGACTGTAACTCATTCGCAGACAAGCAAAGCTTACATGCGTGATCAAGATAAACATGAATCAATCTTCATTTTAAAAGATCAGACATTGGTGCAGTGACAAAAAGAATGTTTAAAACCTTATCTTTAACACTATGAAAACAAACCGTTAAGCTGTGAACAGGCCTTCAGAGGGGAGCAGATAAGCAAAACAAACCAATAGAACTTTCTGAAAAATGCTGGTATCCACAATAAACCACAAATCACCACTTTCCCACATCAGAAGTGGTGGACACCATTGTGCAAATAGCAGTAACAGAACATCAGTGATAATAATCCTGATGCAAACCATTAATTTTCATATTCAAACAGTCTTACTAGAATCAAACTACAACATCTCACTTTTTCTTTACAATGAACTCAGCATGATGTCAGGTCGAGTTTAAGTTGGTCATCTGATTTTTTAGCACCACCTGCTGTCTGTAAATGGGACTTTTTCAGCAGCGGCGCACTATAAAGACAGCAAATAAATAACAGCGTAATTAGTGAGTAAGTTCATCCAAACGGTGCAGAATCACTCAACAATACTTCAGAGGTACACGCCCAGTAAAGCTCTTTCAATATGAATGTGTATGTGAATAGATGCTTCATCCTTTGCCCAAGTAGTATACACCATTTTAATGTCAGTTAAATCCATAGAGAAACCATAACACACATGCACACGTTAAAGGCACGCACGCGCGCACACACACACACATTTATCTAGTACACATACTGTAGACATGGACTCAGAAACTACAGTCACTCACCAGGCAAAATAGATTTTGATGGCTTTTTCGACCCTTCCTCCCACCTCACTTGCCCAAACTCACTCGCATCCATTCGCTTCAGTATCTATTTAAAGCAAAAATCCACCCTAAAAAAACCACACACACACACATCCCATGCAGTCTGAATCGGGAACCTGCAGACAGTGCGGCTTGATGGCAGAACGGACTAGTGTCTTGGTTCTCTGGGTTTTATCTTTGGGAGAGACAGGGTTCCTACACAGGGAGGGGCAATATTTTCTTTGCAGAAGTGGAGGGTATTTGCCCTCATCTTTGAATTTGAATATGTGGGGGTCAATATGTCTCTGATTAGTGTCTGGACACTAATACTACTTCAGTGTAAAAGTGTTATTTTGTGGCATAAGTTCAAATGTGTCATGGAAGCATCGTGGGAAACACTGAGACAGTGTAATTTTTACGTTATTGACAGTGCGTTTGCTTTAAAGGGTCTAATAGGTTGAATGACAACTGTTTCATCTTTTTGTTTGTTAGTCTAGTTGCTTGTCTTTGTGTTAAGCATAGAACATCGGTTCAAGGAGGGTGCCAAACTGCTCGGTTTTAGCCTGAAACTCTGGTCACAACAGAAACTTGAGTAACAAACATAACACAAACACATCGGTGGAATCTTCTAGCCCTTTCAGACATAAATTCAATTATTCTCCTTTACAAAAATAACTTGAAACATGGAGTATTTCACATCACATACTTTTGCAGGTTGAGCAAATTTATCTTTTTTGGAAACAGATCACAAGCATAATTCAGAGAGTTCAGAGTTAATGTGTTCCCAGATCCCATCTTCTAAATAGCATTCATGTCAACATCCAAGTTGTAATTGCAACTGGAAAACTGCTCTCTCCGAAAGCTCTATTTGACTTTGTGCCTCATAATACGGAATTGTCTGAAAACCACGCAAATATGGACGTTTCATGTCAGTCAAAGTCAGACATTCAAGGTGATTAAACCCAATCCAATTTTTACCCTCACACTCAGTAAATCTGTAAATTCAACCATTGTGAATTCTCTGATTATGTGAACACTCACGAGTTGAAAACGTGTATCTTTCACATCTCTACCATCCAGATTTATCCAAGAACTAGAGAAATTCTCACGTTTAGTGATGGTATTTCGTGAATGGTAATGCTCCAGTATTTATCTGTCACTAATAGTCTGGTATAACTGGTCATACTTGTTGTCATACTGGTAGTTCAACTCCCCCACATTATTCACCAGGTTTGTGTGTGAAACTGTGTAAGGCTGTCATCTAGCAGAAAACTGGAAATAATCCATACACTTTTAGTAAAAACTGTTTGGTGTGGTGACTAAAAGATAAAAGACACTAGATAAAACAAGACAAGATACAAGACCCCCACCTAAAACGTTAATCCCTTAATTTTTCAGTCTTTGTTTTACTTGTCAAGGCTTAAAAATAATCTATGATAACCATTAATTTTGTAGTATTCCCAGCAGTTTTCCAGCCATTTCTAGACCTGTGTAGGAACCCCGAAGACACAAAGTGTTCCATTTCTCATGAGAATACCAAATCATTTGTAGATTGTTTAGGGCTGATTCACTTCAATTAGAAATAAAAACAGTCTTGTGTATCTTTTAAGGGTTTATAGCACTCTTAAATGAAGCATTCACACATGCGAATCCGGGTGACGATGTCAGGTGGGATGTTTCGCTGTAGCGGATGTAATCCATCACCTCGCTGTAGTTTGTGTTTCTGTGGGGAGGGCCATAGGGTTAGGGAGAGGGTTGTCATGAGTCAATATAAAACAACTGTTCCTCCCCCCCTCTGACTCCTCTGCATTTAAGGACTCCAGGGGTGTTAAGCTCATCATCCACCAGGTTGGGTGGGTGGGGGGGTCTTTGTCATTCTAGCTTTGTCCAAATGGATAGGGTCCATGAATACCCTGGAGGGGAAAAAGAGAACAGGGTATTATATTAGTTTCTAGTTTTAGGTTTTGTGTAATGAAATAAATGAAAGTTTATATGTGTATAAAATTGTTAAATATCAAAACCTAAACAAGCCAACACAATGTGGTATGTATGCAAGAGCTACACCGCTGTCTCATTCCATCATCAGTTTCAGGGCAGTGACAAAATCTGCAGTACCTGCAGGTAGCACCTTTTGAAATAATGTCTCATTTAAATGCCCCGACCGGCTGCTGACAAAGCTAAGTAGTTCTCAACAGTCCAGTTAAACCACCCAGGAGAGGCTGTTATCTAAATCTGTGAATAAAGGCTTTGCAATGACAGGTATGAGGTGATTCTACTATAACAATAACATGGTCCCACCTGAGAGACTCGGGTGATTTAATGGAGTTAATGAGTTGTTACACTGGGCAGTAGATGCAGTGATGCAGTGATGCAGTGATACAGGACTTTTCCTCAACACAGACCATGATCTTAGTTTAATTTAAAGAAGCTATAGCTACGTTTGTTCTGATGCATGTCATAATGAATTAGCAATCAAAGCAATACGCAAATTAATAGTAGCAATACTCACATGCAGGATGCCACACACATTCATCATCATACCATTAGTCACAGTACATATTTGAAGATGGCACTAATATTTTTTAAACAAGGCTGAAAGTCGCCACGGTAGCAGCCTCATTAGACTGTAATGATCATTTTACACTAAATGGATGAGAAATGACAACTCCGTTTAGGTACCATTAGTGGGGAAAGTCTGTCAAATGTGACCTGAGCAAGAGACCAAAGGAAAGATCATATTTTTACCTAAATCAAAAATGTCTAACCTCTATACCAGTGAGACCATCTAGACATCTCAGACTCAGCTTCTCAGGCTCTACATTGTCAGACATTCCTGAACTATCAGCCATAGAGCTGAATGATTAATCGTTTTCAAATTGAAATTGTTATTTGAAAGAACGTGATTAGCTAATTGTGAAGACTGCAATTAAGAATGTAGGTTAATTATACGGCGCATCTGACCCGTCATGCAGTTACAAATGAATTACGGTGTCATCCTTGTGTGACAGACTTGCTCGCCAATCACAAGCGCCATGTGCCTCCTGTTCCGGTCCTACTCACCAATCAGAGTGGGCACAGGGTGTGTAAACAACAAACAAAACCAGAGGGAAAAGTGTGGGATATCGGCGTCAGCAGACCAACACAGGCGTTTTGTCCGTCCTCCGCCCAGCGTCAACTGCAGTGGAGCGTTTAGCCTGCCCCACGTTGTTGATGTTTTTAATTTGTGATTTTACTACTGATATCAGCTCTCTGTGAACCAGTTTTGTTCCGTTCTCTGGATGGCTTCATATCCCACATGGAGTATTTCAATATAAGAGCCTGATTGCCTGCCTGACTTAACTGACTTGTTCAGATTTTGTTGATTTGTCTTTGATTTTTGTGCTTCTACCATGGTTAAGTAGGCTACGTAGTTAAATTATTTCTTTTTTGTCTGTTTTAACTGCGTTTATTATTGATATCGGGAGTCTGCATAGGATTTTATTTAGAAAATTGTGCCACATCACAGTTTTGATGATCTCTCATGTTTTAATGCTCCATGACATGTTTTATCTATTACACAGAATAACTGAATACTGAACTTTAACTAAACTTTTCTTTTTAAATTGCAAAAAAAAAAAAAAAAAAAAGAGTAGAATTTTTCCCCAAATCGTTCAGTCCTAAACAGCATGATAACATTTAGCATGTAATGTAACAAATTTGATAACTGACTGTTAGCAAGTCAGGTACCAAATGTCATTGTAATCCATGCACTGACATGATTCTGTCATAAATGATTGTCATTTCTGTTCCAAGTGCTCTTCCTTTAGTTAAACCATAGTTTTATTGCCACAACTTCATTTCTTTGCACACACGATATCTTATTATCTAAAAGGCTTTGTCCATCACTTTTGTGGGGTGGAATGTACATTACTTTGGGTGCCTCTAGTAACTTTAGTCCTGTTTAAGACTGCTCAAGAAATGACAAATGTGAAAAATGAAAAGTCAATATATGCCCATAGCGACCCAAGATGAAACTAAACACATAGCAGTTTTATAATACTGCTGGAATTTGTCAGATACTATAGGCATGTTTTATGTGTTAAAATACATTGGAAAAAACATGCATTTCAGAAAAAAGATGAATAAATGCATGTCAGAATGTATCTGCAAACGTAAACCTCAATGAGCTGAAGAACAACTGGTTATCCTAGGAAGTGTCTGGCTGTTGTATCATAGCAAGTGCTACTGACCCTACTCTTAACCAAAAAAATAATATATGGTCATGGCTTTTATAAAATTTCAAATTATAGTAGCTTCCATCATAATGGGGTGTATTTCTCTTTTTTCTGCCCATGATTAAAGATGCAGCAGCTACTACATCCACTGTAGCCTGCAGATTTGTTGATAATCAGTAACTGATTCAGATCCTGTGGATTAGCTCAGGTGATCCCACACAATAAATCAGAAAGGCTACACATAGATATGCTAATCCTATGAATGCAGTTAATGTGGTAAAGTGATAGAAGTCAAGTTTGTGAAGTGTGAAACCCTAAAGTTTAAATACATACCTGACCATAAGTCACCACAGAAAGATTGGTTTGGAGACCATTTGATGCTCTATTTACAGCATTATGAGACAGTCCGTTTTCATCTTGCTGGATTGGCTCTTGTGTGCGTTCCCAGGCCCCACCAGGATCTTTGAAGCTGTTTTCAGTGGCGTCGTGCTTGTTCTTCTGTGGCGAGGCAAAAGGATTGAAGTCTCCCTGGACATTGCGCTGGGGTTGGGTGTTGAATTCTGTCTCGAAGGAGGACAGCTGCTGGGTCACGCCGAGGAGACCTCCAATTTCTACACTAAGAATCACCCAGATTACATCTGTGTAGAAAAGAAGCATACACAAACACGAGTGGACAGAGTCAACCTACCAATTTGCCGATCCTTGTAAAAAATGTAATGTTTTTGGTTTGGTTGGTTAGACAAAACCAGCAATTTAAAGGCTCAGAGAAGGTTTGATGGAATTGTGATGAAAAGACATTGACAGATTAACAGAATTGTGAAAATAAATATTAGTTGCAGCCCTAATAAATTGCCCTATTAGAAACAAATCAAATCTTTGGTGATTTCCTACCTCCATAGAATAATCCAGAAGCTGTACACATCCTCCACTGGCCCTGGTACATGCCTGGAGCTGACGGACTTCGCATCTGCACGCTCACATCTGATATTTCCTGGGGGTCTAGTGACTTTACCATAACTGTGTTTACATGCCCAAACTGATCCCCACCAATGTACTTGAGACAAACCCCAGGTGGCCACGACTCCGCACCTGTAATACACAAAGATGAGTGCAGTCAAAACACAGTTCAACAACAAAACCATGACATTGTGACTGACATTTGCTCTGTGCATATTGCAGACAGATTTAGACAGGCTACTTATGCTGTCACTAAAGCCATTCACTAGCTCAAGCTAAATGTGTGAATGTAGTGACACACCTGTGTTTTGTATTCTCCAGGTCTTTGTGAACGGCGTATCTGGAGGAACAGACTCTCCTTCCCCAATTGTCACATCTTCAACAAAGGACATGGATGGCGTGTTGACACTGGGACTCTCAAAGTCATAATATGCACCAATAGCAGCCTGCAGGTTCCTGTTCCAACACAAAAGGAAGAGCATGGTGTTATCAGGAGTAGACCTTACCTGTGTGACCCTGGCCACAAGATTTGTTTTTTTTACTGTTACAATAAAAGCTGACATCAAGAAAAGCAACAGTCAAAGTATTTGTTTTTTGTGCAGATTGCCATGTCTTGAGAATACTTGTTATCAATACACAATAGTGAAAGCTGCTGAGTCAATGACTCCAAGTGACGACCAGTCTTTCTAATCTGCTGCCTCACAAAGTATTTCATCCAAGTCCACCAATCTGATACTGACAATGAAAATCCATCCTAAAATAGAATTCACATAGATTGTATAGCCCGGTTACAATTTGCCTTTTAAAAGAAGTACAATTAATGAATTTGGCCAGACTTTTAGTTTAAAACATAAAAAAATGAACCAACTTGATCAACAGAATGTGAAGAAATAACAGCTCTGACCTCATGTCAAAGACGTCTATGTGTGGTGTTGCAGAGAGATCTACTGAAGTTAGCATGCTGACCTGACACTCGTGCCTCAAGATGCGATCGTGAGTCACTGTTGCGTCCAGTCTGCCCTCGATCCAACATGAGAGGACGACGAAGCAGAGCAGCCCTGAGGGCTTGTCAATCAATGCTGCTGCACGAGTTGCTCTCCCTCTCCCTCCCGACCTTTCGTTCTTCCGCTACCTCTACTTTTTTGTCTCCTGCCACCATTTGAACTTTCCTGTCTCTGACAGGGCAGACTGGGTGTGAAATCGTTGTAGTCCAGGGACACAGGAGGCGAAGCGCCGCCTGCTTCCTTTCGGCACTCAAGTTAACCAACTGGGCTGTTCAGACAGAGCAAGCCGGTGTAGGTACAGCCACGAGCAAATCTGGCAAGAAAACACACTGATAATCTAATATAAATTATATAATCTTCTGATAAATTATGAAGTATGCATCCCATGTTTGCAAATCCTTTTGATTTCTCTTCCCTCTCACCACTGTTCTAAAGTTTAAATTTCCCCGACCCCCCCCCCCCCCCCCCACATGGTGAAATCCCCCGTCCCCTGTGACTGATCAGCTCCAGTTGAACAGCTCTATCTTCCCCACCTCAGCAGGGGCCAACTCCACCCCAGAGGCTCTCTCCGTCTTGCACTATTCAGGAGGCAGAACCCCCGTAAAGGAACTGGGCTACACTGTCTCTCCATCCACCACGGATGGTGTGCCGATCCACCTGCCTCCGGTGTTCACAGACATTTTTATCTAACAAATCCTCCACCATCAACTCTGTTCCCAAAAAAACAAGGACCACAGGACTTAACGACTACAGACCAATTGCCTTGAGATCTGTGGTCTTTTGAGACTGTCCCACCTCAAAACCATCACAGATCAACTCCTGAATTCCCTGCAGTTCACCTACATGTTTGTTTGGAGCATGTGGCCAGGAATTACACTTTATACCTTTAAAGCGGAGCATCTAGAGAAAAATCCTGCCACTGTTTAACAGACAAAAAACTGTGGAGTAACTCCTGGGACACATTTCTAGTCTATTTTATTAAAAGAATTCTTTAATTTTTATGTGAAGTGCAAATACCAATCTGGTTTTCTTGATAAACAGAAGATTGTTGGGTTAGGATCAGTTGAATAAAACAAGCTATTTAAATATGTCAGCTTTGCTTTGGGAAATTGTTACGGGCATTTAGAATATACTTAATGAAAGGAAACTGAATAAGAGCAGAGATGTTGTTTTAAAGCAAATGCCTGATATTTAAAGGGAGAGTGACAAGATGCAATGACTGCAGAAATGGGGGCTGGCGAAAAGCTTCTACTCAAATGTATGTATGTGACAAGCGTAGTGAAAAATGAAAAATAAGATTACTTGAGTGAGAAGTGCAACATCTGCTTACTTTCAAACATCTGCAAGCCTGACTAATTGCTGAAGTGAAGTGGGCATAATTGTGGAATTTGGAAAGTTACAAAAATTTGAATAAAATGGACTTTCAAATGCTGTTCAACCATCCGACAAGCGCTTTGGTTTGGTTTAAGCATACTGGCACCTTTGGTTGTTAGTATGGGTCAAGCAAAAACAGAATCCTACACTTCCAATAAAACAACTCAACAACCTCTTTCATTAGACCCTTTCTGCGTCCAAACCTCCATAAATTCTGGTTTGTAATGCAGACTTTCTGATATAAATGTTGTCCAAGCCCAAGTCGTGGCAAGCCTGAACACATCTCTGACATCATTGGGGGTTATTTTTTTTAGACTTGACAAATTCCTCAACAGCTGCAGACAACATTATGCAACAAGAAGTAGGAGGTTGAAAGAGTTAACAACTTCTTGGGGGAATTTCTGATCCTGTACAAAAACGGCTACACTGAAGTATGACTGTGTTCAGGATGATTTATCTTTAAATAGTCCTGAGACATTGTTGATGTCTCTCTATAATTAAACTCTGCAGAACTGATCAGCCAGTTTCAGTAGAAAAATTCCTACAACTCTCACGTGATGATGTCACCTCTTCAGTATTGCGCGCTGACTTTCAGACTTGATTTTATGAAATTTATCCAAGACAATGGGAATTCTGTTTTGTTTGTTTTTACCTGGGTCCCTCTTTTTAAAACAGAGGTGACAGAGACCATCGAACATCCATTAACTAAATGGTTGATATCAGTTGATGAGGGACACAAAGACGTTTTGATCAAGGCCACTTGTTGTCAGTCGCTGATAGATCACGATCGGTTACGTCATCAAACTAACGTGAAGCGACTGGCGCTGCCTTGAGTTTCCCCAAAGAGCGTGGCTTCACTGGCTCTGAATACTTATGTAATGTGGCAGATAATCTACACCGAGAGCTCCCTGTGTTTAAATTAGCATGCTAGCTAGTTAGCTATCTGTTTCAGTTATTACCCCTTATCATAACTCACAGTTAGGACAAACTTTATCGCTTCCGTTTGCAACCGAAACGATCGCTGAGAATTAACGTTAACTAACCGCCATTCCCCGTGTATGAAAGACAAATTGCTCCTCTTGGTTTTGAGCAACACTAACTCCATTTTTTTTAGCACGTTAACGTATGCTAACTTGCTAATTACACTGTTAGGTTAGCGCCATGTTGGTGTCCGACAACAGGCCCTCCGTATCCCCGCACTCACCAGTTGGTCATGTCCAGGAAGAAGGCGCAGCCGGCTGGGTTTAGCTGAAAGCCCAGCAGCCTCTGAAACTCCGAAATGAGGACGTCCTTGTCCGTGGTGCCCATGCAGCTGAACTTCTGCATGAGCTCCGCGTCCACGTCCATGTCCGTGCCCTCCATGGGTGGCGGGTGTCCCGTGGCGGAGACGGGGTAGTGCGGGGGTCCTCTCTCAGTTTAGTCCGAGGCCTTGTCCAGCCATAACAACCAGTTCAACAACAACAAGCGTTACTGCGCATGGCACGACTAGGGGGGACGATGTTTGACGTTGCAACAGTCTGCGTCACCTTCGCCAATCACGTAGTGGGCGTCGACGTCATCTGTTGCTATTTGCAGCCACCTTTTCATTGGTTTATCAATGAATCCAAGTCCCTCGTTTTGCTGCCCACTACCACATATATCAGATATTAATTATACATTAATATTGGATACAATTGCACTAATTGGAATTACTCGTTATTATAATTAATGATCGTGAAAACACCAGTATATATATATATATATAGTGGCAATATATTTTTATGCATCATTTAATCAAGAGAGTGACTTTTTTTAAATGTATTTTTTTGTTTCAACACCAAGTTTTTTGATATCCTAGAGGAACAGATTTATAGAATCTACATATATGCAAATAACATTTTGCCAGAATAAAGCAATGTAGTGCCACAGAAACCACTGATACGGACATGACTGAGTCCAAATGACTGCTCTGCTTCACCTTAAATCAACAGAATCTTAATCAACAGGTTTCCAGGTGAAATCTTGCCTTCAGAAACCAGGCTCAGTTTAGGTATTCATGTCATTTTTCACACACAGTCAGTCAGTTGTATGTATAGATGTGTGTGTGTGTGAAAGAAAAGTGAATGGTAAATTGTACCACTGAATAAATCAGAAAGATATGTGTAAAATGGGCAAGATTTTTACATAAAATACAGGAAAGACTTGAATTCAATCACTTTCATTTGTGATTAACAGACACTATTACATAGGCTACTGGTTATATTCTATTTTCTTATAAATAATATTAATAAATAAAAAATTGTAAAAATACAATTTAATCTTGTAATTTCTCTATGCTTGAATGGGAGCAACTGCGACGTGACCGATTTCCCCCCGTTGATCAATAAAAGTACTTCTGATTCTGAAAACGTTCAAGAAAAATGTTCTTAGTTTAACTAGCGATTCCTTCTGAATGACTTATTGTGTCTGAGACTATGCGCACAAAACTAACAAAACATTAACATTCAGGCGGAACTAACAGTGGGTAGGTCTTATATATGGTGGGAACACTTATTGGGAACACCGGAATCGCGCTCTCGCGGAGATAGTTGCCGATCATGCCTAAGTAAGTTCAGCTATTCTTTTGTCTTTTGTGCTTAATCTCTGATTTCCACTTTTCAACGAAATTAAATATTGTTTATATTTGTATAAAGTAACAAACGATGTTAAAATAGACTTTGAAAACTATGAAACAGACTAGTTTGTTTTCAGATGAGCGCTGTGAGCTTTGTCTGGGCTGTGTCTATTTGCTGGACTCAGCCTCGATGTGAACGTAGCTAACAGTAACCAGCAAGACAGTCACAGCATCTTGATATTAAATCAGTTTTACTGCCAGCGTCCGCGATTCAGAGTATGTTCAGGACTAAACTTCCATGTCAAGCTCAACGTTATGGTGCTTGCTTTGTTTTAGATATGAGTTGGTTGAGACTCAGTAACGTTAATGCGTTTTTTTCTAGGTTAAGTTGATTTATTTTTCAGAGACAAGGGCGGGTTGTGCTGATGGTACACAAACGTATAAAACAACATCTAACGCACAGTAACGTACTTTCCAGGTGATCGTTGTAACTGGAGCGACAGCTTTGTAAAGTGTAACATTTCTCCCCGCTGCTGCACAGAACAACTCACAATAAAATAAGTAACACTAGCTAAGAAGGTTAATAACAATTAGGAGGATGATGCTAACACAATCAGTTATTACTTTTGTCCAAAGCTACTGGGTTAACGTTAATTGTCACACATTTGGTAGATGTGTCATAGTAGACCAAATAGACCAAAGCCATGTGTCTTATCCACTGTTCCATCGTCACCTGGGTCCATGGTAAAAAGGTGTAGAAAGGTATAGAATTGTTGAAAGATATCCTGCAGAAATTAAATATGTCAGGTTGAACATGGGACATCTCAGAATTCCTCCTGCAGGACAATGAATTGTCTTGCTGGACATTTTGTAACATCGACACAATATCTGCATACTATATTTCCCACAGGACTCCTTCACAACTACAAAATATTCATGTTATACGTTTTTGTAAGGGAGTCATTTGTAATACGGATGTTCCGGCTAAACATTTACAGACCAAACACAATGTTACCACAACTTTAACAGCTTTAGCTTGTAAAATGAGGAAAAAGACGTTTAAAGTTTGAGCTATGTGTCTGTGTAAATTACACTTCGTTTTACAGCTCAGTTAACGTTTTTTATTTTACATATGGTTCATCTCTAATTTAATGTATGCCAAATCTTGTCCAGAGCTCTAACCTTTTTTTTTTTTTTACATTTACATACAGGTTTTACTGTGATTATTGTGATACCTACCTTACACATGATTCGGTAAGTTGTATTTGTGTGTGCCAAACCATAGTTAGAAAGCATGAAATAATGTTACCTTTTGTTGGATTCTGCTCCTGTTAAATATTCACAGATGTGTTGTGTTTCTGTCCTAGCCTTCAGTGAGGAAGACTCACTGCAGTGGCCGAAAACACAAAGAAAATGTGAAAGACTACTACCAGAAATGGATGGAGGAGCAGGCACAGAGCCTGATCGATAAAACAAGTAAGCAAGTTATTAGCTGTGTTTCCACCAACATTTTTTTTTATGCGCAAGAGTCGCATTAGAAAAGGTCAATGGGGGGAAAAAAGCTAAATTCGAGCAAAAATCCTTAATTTCACCGTAGTTTTTATGCTTGCCTTAGGTGGGTTTTGCCTTTGTCGAACAAGAGTTGGTGTGCTAAATGGAAGATGAAAACACTTTTGCTGAATAAGTTCTGACGTAACGAATTTGTAATTCACGTCTGATCAGCTGTTTTCGCTGTTGGCGTCTTGCCGGATATTCCCAAAACGCGCAGAGACATGGCTGGTAGCAAATTGGCCGCATGAAATACATTCCTGAGGACCTCTCTTAATTTTTCTTAGATCATTGACCAACAGGTCCATGCAATTGGTTTTGTTTCTGGTTTGAAACCCAAACGTCTTGTTTATTACAGCCATGTGTAACGTCAACTATCAACCTAACGATGCTTGTCGTAGCCTGGTTTAATGGCTCCAAACCAGATGATGGAAACACACCTATTTCGCATTTACTTTTTCTTTTTTGCGACATTTCAAACTCCTTCAAATTTGCATGACGAAAACATGGCTATTGTCTCAGTTATGAAAAACATGGCCAAGTACATGGAGCAGTACTAAGAAACTGCACTTGCTGTGAAATTCTTAAGACATTTTTCCCCTTATTAAAAAGGTGTATTTTTCCAGGACACCTGAAATTTTCTCATAACCTGGATTACTTTTATAGACATTTTGCTTTAAAATACAATTTCATTGGGGGGAATCCTCTTAAGGGCCTTGGATGTGGCGTTAAAATGAGTCAGCCCGTTGGGATACAGCTCATTTACGCATTGAGTTTAACTTAAAATATGAAAGTGACCTCTTGCAGCATTAACATTAATGTTGATGATTTATTTGGTTGTGCAGTCAACCGCTCATACGCTAAGTGTGTGTGTGTGTGTGTGTGTGTGTGTGTGTGTGTGTGTTAATTTATTTTTATTTTTTCTCTGTATTTAACATCCTGGTTAGATATAGACAATAAACTAGGTGTTAGAGTAAAGCCTGATGGGTAGCCCACACAAAGCATGCTTATGCACATATGTGGGCTATCCAAGCTCTTTGCCTAAAATTGTTCACTATGTACACCAGCTTCCTTGGGGCCCCCTCTGAGATTACAAACCACTAATCCATATAAGAGATGCAAAGCCAATGTGGTGCTAGAGTGTAGTATTGTCCACTGTGGAGGAACATGTTGTTTGACAGACTAAATTCTCCTTTGCAACAAAAAAATGTCTTGGCTTCACGTCCTTTCAGCATGTCAAGAATGCAAAATGACTGTTTTGTTTTTTGACGCTGACTGCTTAATTGGTACTGTGTTTATCTGAAAGACCCCATATGGAGCGCTTTGTGTTGGTGGTGTTTGCTTTCCATGAATACATTATGAAATAGGCTTAAATTAATTCTTTACAAACGCAATAAAGTGTAGTTAAGATTGTGTACTGAACATGACACATTTGTGTGTGTGTGTGTGTGTGTGTTTATTAACATTTTGTCTTTTCTCTGAACAGCGGCTGCCTTTCAACAGGGAAAGATTCCTCCCACGCCGTTCCCTGGTGGCCCTCCCCCAGGTGAGTCCATGGTCTTTCTGCTCTGCAGTAATTTGATTAACTAACCGTAACGCAGACAGTGGCTCTTGATAGTTAGATTCATACTCAAAAGGGAAAGGCTGTTAGCATTTTTGCTCTATATCAGGGACTATTGAAATTAATTTAATCAGAATTAAAAAATCAACAAAAGCATCATCATTCTTTATATTGTACATACTTTTTATATATAATTTTTTTGTGTGCATGTGTGTCAATTTTTCTGTTTTATATTTATACTTAACTTTTGGAGTACTTAAAAAAACAACAACAAATCTTTTTTGTTATGCACCAAAATACCAAACCAAATTCCTTGAATGTGTAAACCTACTTGGCAATAAACCAGATTCTGAAGCTTTATGTTCCTGCAGGATTACAAATAACCGAATAACTGAAATACATAAAACTACCACACCACTATATAATAGAAATGTTTAGGAAAGAGAGATTTTGTTTTACATCCTTTGTCCCTCTTCACTCTCCTTTGTTATGTCAGGTTTTTTTCTTTATTTATATAGCCCAATATCGCAATTTGCGTCAAGGGGCTTTACAATCTGTACAGCACACAACACCCACAATCTTTAGGTCCTGGATTTGGAAAAATTCCCCAATAATCCTTTTTAATGTGGGGAAAAATGATGTCAGGGATCAGTGTCTCAAATAATGACACATGCCAAACTTTGATAAAAGAAACCAAAATCATAAAACTAACCAACAGTTACATAGTGGACAAGGAGTATACTCCAGGCCGTGGAGTAAATGTAGCTCTCAAATTATAACACAGTTCACTG